CGCGGGGTGCGTCGGGCGGGAAGGGGGCGTGGCCGCCGCCCTCCGCGTGGCGGGGAGCGCGGAGGGGGCGGGGCTCACCGGGGGCGGGGCTTTCACATGCCGGTGCCGGTGCCGGTGCCGGGGGAAGGCCTGGGAAGCCGAAGTCCTGCGTGTCGGTTGCCGCACGGCCTGCCGGCTGAGGTAAATGTGGTAGGAAATGGGGGTTGATTGGAACTCGGGCGCTCCCCTCCCAGCCTGCGGCGGAGCGGAAGGCTCCAGCCTGTTCGCTGGTTTTGGAAATGATTGTTCTTACATTTTTTTATAAACAATCATTCTTTGCCAACTTTTTCATGTGATTTTAATATATATGGACTTGCACTGGGCTAAAGCCTAGAGTTGTTTTGGGTTTCTTTTTAACGTTTGGAAGCAAAAATAGGAACTGTGGTCCCTTTAGTGTCTCTTCTTGATACTGATGTATCTGTTACCAAAGGAAACGTGAACTCTCCAAGAGCCTTGTTAGGATTCAATCACCGTTGAGAAATAGCTGCAGAAAAAGTAACAAAACAAGCGGTGAGGTTTTGTTCCAGAAGAGATTCTCCAAGGACTTCAGCTCAGAGCTTGCACCTGCCTTCCTGACAGCAGAGCTCCTCGGGGGAAGGCTGCTGGCAGTTCTGGGTTTGACGGAAAAAGATACGCTAACTTGCCTTGACAGAAACTGTGGTTCAGAGCGATATGAACATAATTTTACTGAGGTTTTTCTGGAGCGTGTTTTCTGTCTGAGTAACTGGCAGACAGCTCCTGAGGACTGAAACCTAATGCTAGTGATGTGCAGAAAAGTACTTTTTCCTGATTAAAAAAAAAAAACCACAAACACACGAAGCTTCAGTCTGTTCTTGACTGGCTTTAGAACAGGCTGTATAGTTCCCAAGCTCTAATAAATTACATTCCAAGCCAGTTGTAACAGAAATAAACAGGTTTGCTAAGTAAATAAAGCTTGTATGATTATGCTGTCAAGTTTTCCTCTGTTCCCAGTGACTGTCATGTTCACTTAAGCCAAATTAGGTGAGAGGTGTAGAGATGTAAGAGGTCTTAAATTTCTACAGATTCTTGGTTTGTGAAAATGATTTGATTTATAAAAGAGGAGACACATGTCAGTGTCCCTGTTCCTGTAGAAGCAGGAGGGTTATCCTGTCCAGGCAGTCATTCAGATGGGGAAGAGTCAGTGACTGTGTCCCATCAGTCAGAATACGCAGCTCCTGACCAGTCATGGTTTGGGATACATGGCGGCGCAGGTGAAGACAAGGTGAAGTGAAGTGCTGGGGACCCAGGAGGAAGCCAGGTGAAATGGATTTTGCCTGTTCCCCACAGAAACATATAGGGGGAGAGATTCTAAAACCTTTCTATTTAGCATACACAATCCATAGGGGTGGTTTCTGTTGGGGTTGTGAAGCCATTTACTGGATGTGCCTCTTGCTCTGTCAGTCTTATCCACGTACCATGCTTTCAAAATTCTGTTACCTGAAAGTGACACTGAAACCCAGAGCAAACGTCTCCAGCTTTTTGGTGGTGAGGCTGAACAATAATAATGACAGCTGCATTACAAAATTCCAGTCTAGGTGCTCGGAGCCTTCTTCAAAAATCTTTTGTACAAGTAAATTTAGATTGGGCAAGCAGTTAGCTGGCCTTGAAGTCTTTGCAGCTACACCAACAAAAAGCATATGGAAGAGAAGATGAGACCAGATTCAAGGTTAGCTCAGCCCTGAAGGGAGCCAGTGGTCCAGGTGCTGTAAGGGAGCAGAAGAATGGAGGTAAGAGCTTCCTGTTGATGGAAAGCCGTTTTTGAAAAGTAGGAACGGATCTTGCTGGTTTAGGCTAGCATGAAACCAGTGGTTTGGATGGCTTCAGTGAGATGTACCATATTTATCAGGGGTCATTGAGGGTAAAAGTTTACCTTGTTTCTAACATTTGAGGTGGGAATATGATGAATTTTTCAGTGGAGTTTTAAAAACGTGAGCACGCCTGCAAGGATTGTTTACTTGGCAAAGTATTACTTAATAAAAGTTATTCTGAGGAGCACAACAAACGCACGGAGTGGTTAGTCAGTGTGATAAACTCCCATTCTCGCTTTCTAATCTGGGCACGAGTAATGTCGCTGTGTTTCAGTTAAAACTGAATTCTTGATTATAGCTTAGTATTTTTAGTGATGTAGGTGGAGGTGGTGTTCATGAGTTAAATGCCTGAACATTTATATAGTGCCATAGTTCACTCCTGTCCTTTTAAAAAAGTTACTGTGTGTTCCTGACTCTGTATTTCACTATTTGAATGCTACCATGTATAAAGGCTTGATTTTACTATGCAACTCTTTAGTATTAGGTTTTAATCAGTTGTTATAGTATCAAAGAGGATTAATTTGGTTTGTATGGAAAAAAGAACTTAGTAGTTAGCATAAACGATGACCCGGTCTTGATGTCCTCTCCCTTCTCCCCTCTGTGCCAGTGGTAACACTCTCCTTACTGGAAACAGGGCGGTTGCACAATTATTCACAATATCATTATTCACAATAATATCCACAATTACTGCGGCCCATCCCCCAGCAAAACCTAACTGGATTCTAATAAACATAATGGCTTCTCCAGAACCCAGCTCTGCCTCTGGCAGTTGCGACCTTCACTGGAAGCCGGGTTTCTCCTGCTTCCTCTCCACCGGTCAGGACGCGTGTGTGGCTCCCCCGGACCGGAC